CCCCAAAACCCCAAAACCCCAAAACCCCAAAACCCCTGAAAAACTTCCCAGATTTGAATTATTCTTAAAATTGATTAGAGATGGACCCTAACGGCATCCTTGTAAAGTCACTGTATAATTGAAAGTCTTCTCCAGATATTGCAAGCAGTATTTCGATAAAGAGGAGAGAGAATTCCCAGATTGACAATGATCTCTCAAGTCACCACCGAATTCTAGAGGTAAAGTTCCACCTTCAACGGTATTTCTAATTAAATTTAGGAAGAATTAGGAAGTGATAGTCAGTCATTGAAAAGGAAAAATCTTCATGAATCCTCCTGCCAGGACTCCAGAGAGGGTACTTTTGGTGCTTACCCTAACAGGAACCCTACTGATAGGTTCAGGAATATTGGTCAGAGCGTTTCTCCCAGTAATGAATGCAGGATTGTCAAAAACAATCATAATTACAATATTCGGGGGAATAGCGGTCCTACTTTGCTAAGAAATTTAACTCTAACAGATAAAAGAGGAGATAAAAAGAAGATTAAATAAGAAAAGTCACCAGAAGAAAAAGTTCTCTCAGATGACGAATCAGATAACTGGCTCAATGGATGTACTAACCCAAAAAGATTTTCAACCTGCTTCTCAGAACGATCCCTTCGGCTCTGTGAGAGCTAGTAGGAGGGGACCTAGAAGTGGGGCAAGAAATCATCACGATGATGATTGTGAAGTTGTCAGTCCCATGATTCTTAGAACTATCCAGCACAGAGGGGCAGATCAATCAGAGAGCTTTGATGTCCCAGAAGTGACCAACACTCATTCCGTTCAGATGAAAAAGCTCATTGGCAAGCTTCAGACTCGGCTTGAAGAAGAGATGGCAGATAAGTTTCATGAAATGGACCGCAAAATCAAAGGTAGATAGCAGAAATCTAACACTGTATAGCCTTGAAAGCCGAGAATGAGTTGAACTCCCAAGGAATCACAAAGCCTGAGATCAAAAGACTCATCAATGAGGAGAAGGACAATATCATCGAGGAGCTCAAGCACCACCAAAAAGGAATCATTCGCAAAGAAGTTCACCACAGAGTGCGCTCTGAAGTACAGGAGTTAGAAAAGAAGGTCTCTATGAAGCTAGAATCCAGCTATCAGGAAAACTTTGAGGCCATTAAATTCTTGAGCGATAAGGTCAAGCAGTGCATCGACCAGTCTAGAGAACAAAGAGATTTCTCTCTTGAACTATCTAACCTGAAGAGTAGGATCAATGAGATCAACAGAAATGTTAACACAAGGCAAAACAAAGCCTTTATCTCAGCTGAGAAGACTGAGCATGATCTTGTCTGGGAGAAAGTAGATACTAAATTAGACAAAATTTATGAATTCCAACAGAAAATTGGTGCATCAGGCTCAAACACAGAAGAAAGCAAGAAAGCTTACAATCAATTCGGTGATGCAATCGTTGGCCTTGTCAAGAACCTTGTCAAAGGTAACCAAGAAGGAAAGGATGATGAGATAAATGGCTTTAACAATATGATTAACTGCTTTAATAGTAGTATTGACAAAATACAGCATAAAAATAATAAACCGGAAGCTAATCAAGCCTCTCAAGACAAGACAATATCACCAGCTAATTTCGGGAAAGTTATGGATCGTATGGCCGAACTTGTAGAGAAATGGCAGAGACATGATGAAAAATCTCTCCCTAGACCGGGCTCCACTCAAGAGAAGATGAACTCAGACAGCAAGATGGAGATGTCTGAAGATAGACAGTTCCTAGAAGATGTGTCCAGTGTCTGGCAAGCCAAATTTAACGAGCTCTCTGAAGAAATTAATGATATCAAGAGTTCAACAAATAATGAGTTCAATAATGTTCATGACCTTATCGAAGCCCTCCAGGATGACCTTAAGACAGCTAAAAACAAGGAATCTAAGTCAGATGACTTGCTGCAGGAGAATATTAAGTCAAAATTCGAGTTCTTTGCTAAGAACATTAACGAAATTTATTCCTTAATGGATATCATCAAGAAGAAACTTAAGAATAATTCTCCATCCAAGAGCAATGAAGTGATTATTTCCAGACTTAACGGTTATGGAAAGAGCATTAAGAACCTGAATGATCTCTACCAAGGGACTTCAGAGATCAATGCATTCTGTAAAAAGACCATAATAGATGTAAGTGTCTCATCTGATTTAGTAGACTAACAAGAAAATAAACCTGTTTATTATGAGCACTGCTGAGCTTGTCAAAAAGGGTGGGAATCTCACTCAAGATGACCTCGACAGTATTGCCATGAAAGTCAAGGATACTACACTCAACGAGTGAGGAATTGGAGAAGACATCAAGATCTTTGACCACATCGATGATTTGAAGCAAGGTTTTAACAAATGCAAGAATGCCAATATTAAGAGATTCCAAGAAATTCAAGATTCTCAGAGCAAGGAAGTTGAAATGCTGCTTGAAAAGATTCAGAAACTCCAGGTTACTCAAAGGTAAAAATCGGTTTCCAACTCATAGACAAGTCTCAGCTCCAAAAATTCAGAAAGAAATCAGACCTCATCACATGAATAATTTTGGATTTGAGGATAAGGAGAATCCAGTTAGAATCAATTCAAGTGTGAAGAAGTTGAAAGACGGCTCAATCATGGATTCTGCCGAGTACCTCTCCCCTGTAAATCATAGATCGATCAACGATAATGGCACTGAGATTATCGTGCTTTCTGAGAAGGACATAAACAGGGACACTTCTTCTCAGTATACAGAGGATAGTAAAGCTTTCAACCTGACTCCTGAGATGATCCAAGACTTATGTACGAAGAGGAGCGATGCAAAGGATCCCTCTAAGCCTGTAAATTATCTTCCTTATGACATGGAAGGGTCTGATATCTCCTTCGCTAGAAGAAGCAGTAGTAAACAAAGTATAAAAATCAAAAAGAGAGATTCTGGAATCAAAGGTAATAACGATCAAATTTCAAAAATCTATATTTAAAAAGGAACAATTTAAAAGCTAGAATATTTTTGGGGGTTCTATATCTCTCCCCCTTTGAAGCTGAAGGTATCTTCTTGGTGTTTTCAGACACCAAGAAATACTAAGCTACAGACATATAGTGTATCTAAACTAAAGACTCCGCATTTTACTAAAACAGGGTTTTATATACTCTTTTTGTTACTAAATTAACCAAATCTCTAGGGTCGATAGTTTCTTCGAGCTCATTAAAGAGATCGACAGACTCAAGGAACATCTTCGGGAATAAGAACACGAAGAGTTCTGGGGAGAAACCCAAAAGAAATATCTTCTCAAGACCATTCTCTGTGAAGAACGAGAATAGAAATGTATCCGTCCTCAGAATGTAAAGAACTCAGCTGCACTATGAAGGATGAAATGACTGTGGGGCTACAGAATCTGGTCAGGGTTTAACGACGAGGGAAGACCTAGATATATGATTCAGCTCTTTTTCGGTCATTTTAACCTATACTCAGACAAAGAGGTTATAGTAGAACCATTAATTCATACAAATAATTCAATGAACTTACTGGTAATTGGGGTTTTGGGGTTTTGGGGTTTTGGGGTTTTGGGGTTTTGGGGTTTTGGGG